TTAAATTTAAATTGCATTTTTAATCCAACGTTTACGTTTGTCCATATTTGACCCAAAATGGTGTTAAAACAACCCATAATTGTTTAGAGTGGTCCCAAATGAGTCCTGTGAAAGCTTCAGTGCTGGTTAGTGTGTGTGTGTGTGTGTGTGTTAGGCAAACAGCGCTAGGGTTTGAAACAAAGGATGGAAGTGACAGAATGAGAGGGTGTGATACTCTAAAGGTTACAGAGCTCTAAGTGATCAGAGCCGGTCAGACAGGGAGTGTGTGTTGCAGAAGGCCAGTCACTATTGATCAAACACACTGTCATTACTGGCTCTCTCGCTGGAGGTCAGACTCAGCGCTGGGCTGTTTTTATGAGGCAGTGATTTTATTCTCGGCACTTGCTTGAGTTGGTGTATCAGCCTCCGGAGAAGCCACAGAATCATACCATCACACACACACAGACACACGGAGGTTCACCTGACGACACACAGGGTTATTTTGGTCTCGGTGCGTCAGTCAGATAGTGTGTGTGTGTGTGTGTGTGTCCTGGTGCCGCTGGTCACCTGCTCTCATTACCACACAGACATCCAGAGGGAACCGCCTCCGCTCTTCCAGAACATCACACACACGGTTCAGATGTTTCATACAAAATTGTATATTTAATAAATGATATTGATTAATATATTGCATTTATAAGATGTTAAATATTGCTAAATGGCTTGTATATAGGATATATATATATATATATATATATATATATATATATATATATATATAGCTTTTATATATGCGTGTGTGTGTGTGTGTGTGTGTGTGTGTGTGAGCTGGCAGATGAAATGAATGGAAAAGCCTGTGGTGCTGGAAAGGGAAGTGTGTTATAATATCGCAGTGTTATCTGGGTGTTTCTCTGAGAGTGCCACACACACACACACACACACACACACACCGAGATCTGATTCGGCTTCACTCCAGACACCAGCTCAAGTGTGTGTGTAATTTCTGGACTGTGTATCTTTGAGAGGTAATCAGGCCTGATCCTGACCCGCAGATGATGGTGTAAACCTGCTTCTTTGAAACTGTAGTTGTGCGGCGACGACTCATAATTTATTTAATTTCATTTAAACTGTAGCTGAAGTGTGTTTTCAAACAGGTTTGCTGAAAACTCCACATAAACTGCACCAAACTCACATAAATATTAATAATAGTATATAAATAATACTAAAATAACACTGCTAGTTGAATTACTAAAATTATACAAATTAAAACTGAAATAAAAATAAATTAAAGCAAAACTAAACCTAAAAAATACAAAAATAAAACAGAAAATACAAAAATAAAAGCTTATTCACAATATTAATAAATACTAAGCTAACACTGCAAGTTGAAGTACTAAAATTATACAAATTAAAACTTATATCCACATAAACTGCACCAAACTCACAAAAATATTAATAATAGTATTTAAATAATACTAAAATAACACTGCTAGTTGAATTACTAAAATAATACAAATTAAAACTGAAATAAAAATAAATTACAGCAAAACTAAAAAAAATAAAAAAAATAAAACAGAAAATACAAAAATAAAAGCTTATTCACAATATGAATAAATACTAAACACTGCAAGTTGAAGTACTAAAATTATACAAATTAAAACTTAAATACTTACAAATATTTGAATACATAAACAACAGCACAAAAAATACTAAAACAAAATAAAATTAAGATGAAAACTGAAAATATTAAAATACAACATATTATAATAATACTAAAATAACACTGCTAGTTGAATTACAAAAATGATACAAATTAGAACTGAAATAAAAATAAATTAAAGCAAAACTAAACCTAAAAAATAAAACAGAAAATACAAAAATAAAAGCTTATTCACAATATGAATAAATACTAAACACTGCAAGTTGAAGTACTAAAATTATACAAATTAAAACTTAAATACATAAAAATATTTGAATACATAAACAACAGCACAAAAAATACTAAAACAAAATAAAATTAAGATGAAAACTGAAATATTACAGTAAAATACAAAATATTATAATATTATATAATAACACTGCATGCATAATAAAATTGCATTTTCGAGGGATGCTCAATATGCCGCATGTAAATAATGTCTAGTTATCATCCTGGGGATAAAAAACATGTATTTTGCTAGATTAAAAGTCAAGTTGGAAGGTTACATCGAGTGCATTGCATTGTGGGATAGAGTATCTTCTATTCTGCATATTTTGCCAGTAGATCATCAATGTGCATATCTAGTGTAAATACTGCATATGTGCATGTGTGTGAATATATTTTGCTAATACGAATGCATTCATTTGCTAAACCAAGCATCACTATTAATATTGCTCATGCATCGTTTCTGGCTCTAACTCACTTTAATTGCCGTCTCATTGCAAATGATCAGTTTTTCATATTCAGATTCATGCATTTCAAATCGGCCTTGAAGGAGGGACTGGGAATAAACACATGCAACGTGCTAACAAAATGCAAAGCAACACACTTGAGTTTTGCACATGCACACACCTTGGAGAAATGTGCCGATGTAGTTTTCTTCTGAAGTTCGGAAGCGGATGACTTGCTGTTATTAGGCCGAGATTTCGCATGACATGCATCAGTAATGCTCTGAAACGAGGTTAAAATCCCTGTCCTTCAGTCAGAAGATATGAAGATCTCGGGTGTAAATCATCCTTCCCAGCGTGTGTGTGAACTGACAAGATGTTGGGTGTTAAAGAGACGCACGTGTCAGTCAGGTGTGTGTGTTCAGTGTCACTACAGGTCAAGAGCTCTGGAGCATTTTAATCAACTGCTTGCCAATTAACAGCTCAGTTTAAGTTTGTCTGCTCGGTGTAAATTATTTAACCCGTGGCTCACTTCTGACAGGAACATTTGTTTACAGTCGTTCACGAATGGAGCTGGGTTTGGAGCTGGGTTTCCAATGAACCTACAACTAATTTGCATAATGCAAGCCTATGGTCTTGATTGGCTGAACAGGGTCTCTTAGCTCCGCCCTCAAACACTAGTACATCTGAGAGTGGAAGAGTTCGGTGTTGTTCATGTCGAGAAGACGCTGTTTTCTGCTGACAAAGCAAATCCACTTTGATGTTCGTATATTTGCCAATTTGGTTTCTGACCAATCAGAACAGACTGGACCAATCGTAGCAGAGCAGCTCTCAGAGAGGCGGGGTTTAGAGAGACTGAATCCTTGATCAAACCGATGCTGAAATATCCACAAGTTTCCTACGCCCCATGATGCCTTGCGTCAAAAGTGGGCTCGACTTCCGGTTGGAAGTAAACAAAGCGCGACTTGACATGCTTGACACTCGTTCATTCAACAGTTGACAGTCATTCAAGTTATAGCGATCCAAACTAGCTAACGATGTCAGCGAAATTCAAAAGGGTGAAATAACAGTACCTTTACCCTCCGCAGTAGTTGATTGGGAGTATTATAATAACATTATTAATAATCAATACTCTCATCAAGGCATGTTGACAGACAGTTGTGCGAGCTGACAAATAATTAAAATAAAAGAATACACACTTAGTCATTGTGCTTTGGAGTTTATTCAAAATTATAAATTAATGTGCTACTTGAATACATTTGGTATTCTGTCAACACAGGCTTTGATCCTGAGTTTAGGTGTAACATCAGTAGCGAACAGCCAATCACATGCTGAGAGAGTTTATAGAATATTAAGAATTTAAACAAATGTACACAGGAAGATTCGTCGTCTTTTGGGAGGTGATGGAAACTAACGTTACAGTCTTTGGCAGGATCACTCTGATTTTGTTTTCAGCTTATGTTCAAAACAATCACGTTTAAGCCACTGAATTAGTTTAGTCCGGTTATACATACAACCGTGAACAGCACATGTTGTCCCTGAGCTCCGTAACGACATCTCTCATAAAGATTTGCGTCTTTAAATAGTAAAATAATTCTCTGAAAAACAGCTAGCCTCTTCGCTAACTAACACACAAAATACCATTGGAAAGCTACTTCCCGCCTCCTCACCGGAAGTTTCACCCACTTTATATTTTACAGGAGCGCCCCTCGGAAACTTGTGGATAGAGTGCCGGAGTTACGACGTAACTCTGTTGGCCAAAACGCGGAAGTGAGTTAGCATTGTAGCATTACGGTTCCCTCGCTCTAAAGCCTATGGGATTTTTTAATGGTTTTTTGCTAAATCGCCTGAAATAAGGTCTGTGGTGAACAGAGCCTCTAAATATTTTTCACGTTTTGATCTATGACAGAGAACACACAGTTATAACCTGCTTGTGTTTTTTTTAAACTTTATTGTGTCTGATTGTGTTTTTTTTAATTTTTATATAGGCTTCAAAATGTATAAATTTTGGACTAACTTGTAAAGATTATCTTGCTAGACAAAACGTGTAAGGGTCACAACCCATTTTTTGTAATTTTCCAAAAGTATATGGGGAAAATGCATTGCTTTTTGACCAAGGGATTCCATGCGCCGCTAGCTTCCGAGTCGTCCTACAAAGTGACGTCATCACTTCGGCACTCTATTATGAGAACATTAAAGTGTTTTTTGACCTAACATGTATGTAAACAAATTGTAGGAGACTAAAAAGTGCACTTTAAGATGTGAAAATACTTCTTTAGATTGTAATGTTTATATATGTATAATATGCATCTGTCTTCATGTGTGTGTGTGCGCTTCTGGATTACATGTTTGGTCACATGGTTGCGCATGAAAGCTGTGATTAGTGAATGTTTCTCATTCACTCCGTAATTACAGAATGAGGGATTGAAAATTGAGATTGTTTAAATGTAATGTGAAGACGCAGCGTGTGGCCTTTATATGTGACCGTGCACACACACACACACACACACACTGAGACGAGTTTAGTGTTCTGAATAGTCTTGAGATGCATTTTAAGTTGAACCATTTTGAATGTTTTCCATTATGCTTATCAAATATTTTCTTTGGTTTTATTTTTTGCATGCACAGCTAATCTGTCTGTGTATCTGTGTTTCCAGGTGTGAAGTTCAGGAGCACCACTCAGTCCAGACAGGTGAGATCATAATCCATAAACTGATCTTAATCTGATTGTATTAAACACTCTCTCGTTTGGTCCCGGCCCGGGGGAAGAGGCTGTAACCTGCCGTCTCTAATCAAACCAACCCTGACTTCATAATGAACTAATCACCTCGTTAATACTGGATTTATGATTATTCAATTCATTTACTTTATTGCACATTAATGAATTCAAATGAGAAGTTAAATTGATATTTGCCACAGACGACGTGTTTTTGGAAATCAGGTGACGTAGAGAATTAAGCAAAAATCCTCGTCAATTAGAGGATTAGAGATATTGAGAATGAGTCATAGACTGAGCCCAGATCAGCTGGAATGAGACACACTCATCCTGGAGGATCAGAAATGCTTTAATGGCGCCATCTGGTGGCTGAGAATCACAAACTCATCTTGAACTCTGAGACTGAAGATTGATTGATGGATCTCTGGCAGACACATTCAACTATATGGTCATTTGAAATGAATGGCATCAGTTAATAATGTGCCTTTCAATATACAAGTCAAGTCAAGTCACATTTATTTATATAGCGCTTTTCACAATACAGATTGTATCAAAGCAGCTTCACACTGATAACATGAAAGTAGCACAACACAGATCAACAACATTGCTAAACACTAAATAACCCCAACTGAGCAAGCTCATAGCAAGCCAAAAGCAATACAGGTGAATCAGGGAAAAAAAAATAGAATATTGTGCAAAAGTTAATTTATTCCAGTAATTCAACTTAAAAGGTGAAAAAATGATACACTGCAAAAAATATTTTCAAGATTTGTTATCACAACATATTTTCTTTTGTCAAATCAACTTTATAATAATTTATTTAGCTGAGATAACTTATTATTTTGAGTTTCTGATGATGAAATTAATCTCCTTCATTGTATTAACTCACTTTTTCCAGTTCAATCAACTTAAAATTTTACTTACTTTTTTAAGTTAAACCAACAATATTTTTTACAGTTTAGTAATCACAACATTTTTTTCTTTTCTCAAATCAACTTAAATAATTTATTTAGTTCAGATAACATATAATTTTGAGTTTCTGATGATTAAATCATTCTCCTTCATTGTATTAACTCACTTTTTCCAGTTCAATGAACTTAAAATTTTAAGGCAACCAGGTTACTTACTTTTTTAAGTTAAACCATCAATATATTTTTACAGTCTATGTTGGCTTTAAATTAATTTTTTTATGTAAAAGGGTTCCATAAATTTACTTTTTTATGTCAACAGATTCTGTATAACTGGGTTACGTTAAACAAACATAATTTGTTCATGTAACTTCAACATCATGGAATTAAGTCATTTTAAGCGACTCAATTAAACTCTAAGCAGTGTTAAATGAACAATGGATGGTTTAACTTAAAAAAGTAAGTAACCTGGTTGCCTTAATTTTAAGTTCATTGTACTGGAAAAAGTGAGTTAATACAATGGAGATTAATTTAACCATCAGAAACTCAAAATTATATGTTATCTGAACTAAATAAATTATTTAAGTTGATTTGACAAAAGAAAAAATGTTGTGATTACTACACTGTAAAAAATATTGTTGGTTTAACTTAAAAAAGTAAGTACAATTTTAAGTTGGTTGAACTGGAAAAAGTGAGTTAATACAAGGAGATTAATTTAATCATCAGAAACTCAAAATTATATGTTATCTGAACTAAATAAATTATTTAAGTTGATTTGACAAAAGAAAAATGTTGTGATTACTACAATGTAAAAAAAATTGTTGGTTTAACTTAAAAAAACTAAGTAACCTGGTTGCCTTAAAATTTTAAGTTGATTGAACTGGAAAAAGTGAGTTAATACAATGAAGTAGATTAATTTAATCATAAGAAACTCAAAATTATATGTTATCTGAACTAAACAAAAGAAAAAATGTTGTGATTATTAAACTGTAAAAAAATATTGTTGGTTTAACTTAAAGTAAGTACAATTTTAAGTTGATTGAACTGGAAAAAGTGAGTTAATACAATGAAGGAGATTAATTTAACCATCAGAAACTCAAAATTATATGTTATCTGAACCAAATAAATTATTTAAATTGATTTGACAAAAGAAAAATGTTGTGATTACTACAATGTAAAAAAAAAATTGTTGGTTTAACTTAAAAAAACTTAAGTAACCTGGTTGCCTTAAAATTTTAAGTTCATTGAACTGGAAAAAGTGAGTTAATACAATGAAGGAGATTAATTTAATCATCAGAAACTCAAAATTATATGTTATCTGAACTAAATAAATTATTTAAGTTGATTTGACAAAAGAAAAAATGTTGTGATTACTAAACTGTAAAAAAAAATATTGTTGGTTTAACCTAAAAAAGTAAGTAAAATTTTAAGTTAATTGAACTGGAAAAAGTGAGTTAATACAATGAAGTAGATTAATTTAACCATCAGAAACTCAAAATAATAAGTTATCTCAACTAAATAAATTATTATAAAGTTGATTTGACAAAAGAAAAATATGTTGTGATAACAAATCTTGAAAATATAGTTTTTAACAGTGTAAAGTTAATGGGATAATTAAGTGAATATTTGAGTGATGGTTGAGCATTATTGAAGACACCCGATGTTAACAAGCAGAATCAGGAATCACTGAAGGAGAAAAACAGAATTTTAAGTCACCATTATGGTGATCAGTGTTTGCTTTAGTTGGGCTCTTGACCCTCACATAATTTTCTTTAGATTATGTTTGGCTGCTGTATATGAGTTATAAAAGCTAGATGAACAAATAGAAAAGGGTGATCTGATGGTGATGGTCGATGTGAGAGAGAGAGAGAGAGTATATTTTCCTTCACATTAAAATAATGATGTATTTTCACATTAAAATAAAGAATTTTCTTCTTTTTGGGTTGAAATATAACAGAACGAATACAGTCCTGTCTCATTATAATGTCAGTTTGCTGATGGGTGTGTCTTGTGTGTGTTTGAAGGAGCAGTGTGGCCAGTTCAGTGAGATGGTGAGACTCCACCAGCGTTCAGAAGAGGGCGACGTCGACCCCATCGTGCCCATGCAGCTCCCAGACTCCCAGTGGAAACGCCAAGCTCCCACACCGGGGTCCCGGGAACACGACCCGGGCTCCCAACAGGTCACCAAACGCCACAGGAAACTGCTAAAGACCAGTCCAGTGCACACAAACTCCTCGTCATCGTCGTCGCACTCGGAGATCTCGCGGCGTCTCTCTGACGTTCAGGAGTCCCGCCGCCGGATCGTACGCGAGGTCTGCGGGAAATATCGGAGTAACATCTCTCGGACGATTACGCCGCATCACGTGTCGCGCATTTACGTGGAGGACAGACACAAACTCCTGTACTGCGAGGTCCCGAAAGCCGGATGCTCCAACTGGAAAAGGCTCCTGATGGTGCTAGCCGGAGTCGCTAACTCCACGCGGGACATAAATCACGTGTCCGTTCACTACGACAATCACCTGAAACGCCTGGACAGCTTCGACCGGCAAGGAATCAGCAAGCGTTTGGAAACGTACACTAAAGTTCTGTTCGTACGCGAGCCCATGGAGCGCCTGGTGTCCGCGTTCAGGGACAAATTCGAGAGCCCGAATTCCTACTACCATCCCGTATTCGGGAAGCCCATCATCTCCAAATACAGAGTGAACGCATCGCAATCGGCTTTGAAGACGGGAAGCGGAGTGACCTTTCGGGAGTTCATCCACTACTTGCTGGACGTGCACCGTCCCGTGGGAATGGACATCCATTGGGAAGCAACCAACCAGCTCTGCAGCCCCTGCCACCTGCACTACGACTTCATCGGGAAAGTCGAGACCTTGGAGGAAGACGCCAACTTCGTTTTACGGAAGATCGGGGCGCCGGAGAACCTGACGTACCCCTCGTTTAAAGACGGGAACCCCAAAGCGGCCAGAACTTCCACTCAGATCACGCAGCTTTACTTTTCCCAGCTGAACGCTTCGGAGCGCCAGCGAGCGTATGACTTCTACTACATGGACTACTTGATGTTTAACTACTCCAAACCCTACAAGGATCTCTACTGAAGCTTGGTTACGTCGCAGACGCTCTAATTAAACTAATCCACATTCACACAGTCTCATCCTCTTGGAGATTCAGATGGAGATTGCACAAAATGCTCTTTATTTAACTGACGGCATACATTTTGTAAAAACTCAATCAGAACTATCAAATGTTTAATGGTAACACTTTACAATAAGGTTCATTAGTTAACATTAGTTAAAGGAGTAGTTCACTTTTGAGCTGAACTTTTGCTGATAATTTACTCGCCCCCATGTCATCCAAGATGTCCATGTCTTTCTTTCTTCAGTCGAAAAGAAATTAAGACATTCCAGGATTTTCTCCATATAATGGACTTCAATGGGGTCCAAACGGTTCAAGGTCCAAAAGACACTTTCAGTACAAACTGCAAACTGTTCAAAAGACTTTAAACAATTCCAAGGGTCTTATCAAGCGAAACGATCGCTCATTTAATAAATAAATAACAAAGTTTAAGTTTTATGAGCACAAATTCTCGTTCGTGACCCTCCTGTTCGAACTCGTTCGTCAAAATGAATGAATCTTTTTCTGAGTCATTTGGTTCATTCAACGAACGAAACGAACGAATTGACTCGGAAAAAGATTCGTTCATTTTGATGAACGAGTTCGAACAGGAGGGTCACGAACGACCATTTGAGCTTATAAAACTTAAACTTTGTTATTTATTTATTAAATGAGCGATCGTTTCGCTAGATAAGACCCTTATTCATCATCTGGAATCATTTAAAGCCCTTTGAACAGTTTGTAGTTTGCACTGAAACTGTCTTTTGGACCTTGAACCGTTTGGACCCCATTGAAGTCCATTATATGGAGAAAAATCCTGGAATGTTTTCATCAAAAACCTTAATTTCTTTTCGACTGAAGAAAGAAAGACATGGACATCTTGGATGACACGGGGGCGAGTAAATTATCAGCAAAAGTTTGTTTTTTCTTTTTAAAGTGAACTACTCCTTTAAGATGAACTAAGATTGAACAATACTTCAGCATTTATTAATCTTAGTTAATATTAATTTCAACCTTTACTAACCTGTTATTATTATTATACTAACCTGTTATATCATTAGTGAATGTGAACTAACATGAACAAACAGTTGTGTTTTTATTAACTAACATTAATAAAGATTAATAAATACTGCAACAAATGAATTGCTCATGGTTAGTTCATGTTATAACTAATGTTAACTAATGAACCTTATTGTAAAGTGTTACTGGTTTAATATACAGATGCACAGAACTTTTACAAATTTTGGGGTCAGTAAGATTTTGTTACAATGTTACAGAAGTTTTTTTTTTTTTTTTTGGATCAAAGAATCCTGGGAAAAAATTATCGCTGTTTCCACAAAAATGTGAAGTGAAAATAATAAATAATACAATTATAAATGTTTCTTGAGCATCAACTCATCATATTAGAGTGATTTCTGAAGGATCATGTGAAACTGAAGACTGGAGTAATGATGATGAAAATTCAGCTTTGATCACAGGAATAAATGACATTTTCTAGGTATTTACATAGAAAAAAAAGGTATTTTGAATTTAAATAATATTTCACTGTTGTTACAGTGTTTTTGATCAGATAAATGCAGTCTTGCTGAGCCGAAGAGACTGTCCATAAACATGAAACATCTTCCTGACGCAAACTTTTGAATGGTGGTGTATGAAGGGGGATTTTAGACCAATGAGATGCCAATGTGGGCGGGGCTATCAAGCATGGCATCACAAGTAGAAACCAAGTAATTGACCAAATATCTCAGTTTAGGACAGAAACGTGTTGCTTTGTGTCGCCTGTTATGCTTCATTGGTCAAATAAGACTATATATTTACATCATAAATGTAGAAAAGGGCAACATTTGTGAGAGTGAAATGATCCTCTTGTGTTATAGATTTCACCTCTTACAAAAATAACATGGTATTACCCCTATGTTAGCAAGGTTTTTGCAACAAAAAAGTAGTGCACTATGATGCATTGAAGTGTTACTGTGGTATTTTGAAATATACCGTGGTATAAACTTCATCTATTATAATATTTCAGGGTATTTCTGAGAATTGCAAAGAACATAAAACAACATGGTAGAAGTGTAATGTAGGAGTGCTTCTCATGTACCATGGTATATTTAATACCATAGTACTACATAATGTAAATGGTATTTTTTTTTTGTAGTACGCAGATGGTAATACCACGTCTTTTGAACACTACCATGAAGTTATATTTTGAAGTATAGCCTACTATATAAATACTATAGCACATGAATATACAATATACCATGGTATTTTAGCAAGAGTTTTCCCCTATATATAAATATATATTAAGAAGATCACTCACTTCCCTTTAGCGAACACACTCCACCACTAACTACACTGATATTTTCAGATAAATCTATAATTTATCTATAATTGTAAAAAGGGCATTCAGAGGATTATATTTTTCTATGTATTTGTAAAATGGCTTTAGATGTGATCGATGCTTTTGTGCTAATTCATCTCTGAAGTCACTGACTCGGGTGTGTGTGAATCAATCACTCAACGTGTGTGTACCAGATCCTAAAAATGATGTTAGACTATAAGAATGCGTGTGTGTGTGTGTGTGTGTGTGTGTGTGTGTGTTTCCAACACTACGCTGATGTCTTGTACATGAGTTTATTTCCATACACAGCATATTAAATGACTATGGAACTGAAAAGATTTTATTTATCCAATGCAAACAGTTTAAGAGCTATATATATGATGAGCATAATATATTTTTATTTTATTTTATTTTATTTTATTAGAGATCACAGAGAATAGATTTATGCCATATGAAGACTGAATCAGCTTTATAACCGTGAGTGTTTCTTCTGTCACCTGCGTCCCTCACACTTCTTTAAGAATATGTATATAGATCTATACGATATCACACATACAGTAACTGGTGAATGTATAACTGTTGTTGGTGCAAAACTGTACAAATCCATATGATCTATAAGCCCTTTGCCTTATTTGACACTGCCAGTGTTTCAGGAAGAGCTGCAGTCGCAGTGAATAAACTGAATTTTGTCTTTGGCCTTTTTTGTCTTTTTCATGGGTCATGTTTCATAAATGTATTTGTGTGAACATCGTACTGTACGTGATCAGGAGCATCACACGGATCAAGTGTTGCAAACCACATCCAAGAAAATACACATTAATAATGTGAATAAATGCTCACGTTTATATATTATGTTGAATATTTTTTATGAACAAAGATTTTGATGTCTTAATTAATAATGTTATAATAGCTGATATATTTTGAGTTGGCCTAATTGTTTAACATTTTATATGTTTTAATATAAATAGGTAAATTTTGCAATCCTTTTAAAACTAAATTCTAAATGTATTTTTTTAAGTGCAAGAAACAACAATTAATGCATAATTTTACAATAATTAAAAAAATATAAATAGGGACATTTTCTGTGTTTTGGTGTCTTATTTTAAGTCTAACCAGAAGAGAATTGGCGCTGGCTGGTTACTTCCGGGTTCTGGACTGGCTGCAGTAACGCGTTTCTGTCCATGCGGGGGCGCTCGCGGTCGAGTGCAGAATGAATGAGAGTCAATGGGGTTTCACCCGCAGAAATCCACTTTTCTCAGGATGTAATTTTTTGTCAAGTAATTTGAAAGTTGCATTGAAAAGAGGCTAAGATAATACACTCAGCTGAAAATTGCATGTTTAAGTTCACTTATCTGTTCTAAAAATCCGTTCAAAACTGTGATTACGTCACACAATAGCAGAATGCTAGCGTCTTTCGGCCAACAACGGCCTAACCTGTAAGAAATCAAAAGGACATAAGTACTCGTTCATTCGACTTTTGGCCTATAATCTATATTGAACATGCGGAATCAACAATAAAATCTATGTTGATTTAACGACAAGCAGGTGAAAGAGACACTTTTAGCCGTTTAGCCCCATAGACTCCCATTCATTCTGCTCTCGCCCGCGATCACCTCCAGTGGAATTCTAATGGAACTGCAACCAAGATGATACACAACGGGGCTAATAGGAAGTGCCAAGGCTCTCCGTTAGACGGGCTCTGGACTAACTAACTACTAAAAAGTTATATATATATATAAAAGATATATATATATATATATATTTGTTAAACCCTAATTACAGTAAATACTGCTATCTTTTATTTTTTATCTTATCTTGCACATAGCAGCGGGATTTAGCATTCAAGCTACATAACGCCAACACAGCTCACGTTAGCTACAAGTTATCGCAAGAACAGATTTAGATCAGGCATATTGGCTTCTAATGGGGTCCTAAGCTGGGACCCTTCTCTTCAGTGGGGCCTTCACCACACCGTCACCATTTTCAACGATTCACGTTTTTGTACTTTACACAGAGACAATAATGGGATCATTATTTGAAAAAATAACCATTTTTCGCGTTTTTAGCCATAGTTATATATAACCATAGTTTGCGTTTTTAGACACCCAAAACGCTGTTGTTGTGTAAATGAACGGCCAAAACGCTAACTGTAAAAAGTTTTATGTGCTAAGCTGAAATCGGTGTCACTGGAGCCAAATGTAATGGTTGCTCAACCACTAGGTGGCGGTGTGCACTGTAGGTGTGGTCACCTGTTAGCATCACATAACTCCACATGGGTTGGATCAGGAAGGGAAAGGTGGCAGGAACATGTGGTTCTTACCATATCCACATGCTTTCAAACTCTCTAAGATATATTTCATTAAATGGATATTATTGTGTGGACATTGTTTATTCCAAACTATGAATAAAGAACATTTCCAGCTTGCTCTGGCTAAAGCCATGACAGTCACTAAACGCTTCAACCAAAACATCAGCCAGCTTTTACACTCCCTCCTGAACCAAAACAACGAGCTTACTGTATTCACGCCATCACTAGCCTACTGTTACTGGGATAGGAGGATGGAAACCAGTGACATACTTGGATTAGTTTGTGACTCGAATTCGATAGCAATATTATAAACGTTGAAATGAATCAGGTGATACTCTTTTAAGTTATGTTCATTATTATTTTAATGTGTTTTGAGACATGAGGTAGTTAACGCCATCTCTTTGAATGCTGTAAGTTACATGTTCATGTGTTTTGAAGGAGGCGTGTCTTTGGAGATGCTCTCAGCTAGCTCTTTCAAAGCTAGCTGCTATTGCTGGCCTCCATGCAAATTAAATTACCCCACCTGTAACTCTCATTATTATGACATAATTGAGTGGAAAA